CAATTTGTTTTAGTAAACACAAGTGTTCATCAATGTATACCAAGGACATAATAAGGTATGCAAAACATAAAATATTAATTTTCACAAAGTAAATACAAAAACACACATAACAAATATGTATAAGAATTTTGACATCATAAGAAATGATAGATAAGAAACCTCTATATTGAAAACTACTGTACTCTGAAAAGGGAAATTGAAGAGAATATAAGAAAAATGGAAAGATAATCCTTGTTTTTGGGTAGGAAGAACCCATGTAGTAAAAATGTCCATACTCCCAAAACTGTTACTCAGATTTAATGCAATTTGGATCAAAATTCCAATAGCATATCTCACAGATTTAGAGAAAACAATGCTAAAATTCTTTTAGAATCAGAAGACACCTGGAGTAGCAAAGACAATTCTGAGCAAGGCAGGGGCAACACAATATTTGACTTGAAATTATTCTATAAAGCTTCCGTAATAAAAACAACATGATACTGGCAAAACAACAATAACAACAACAACAACAACAACAACAACAACAAAAAAAAAAAAACAGACCTGAAAATCAATGAGACAGATTAGAAGATGCAGAAACAACTCCAGACACGGGGAACCACTTTATTTTTGTCAAAGGTACCAAACACATTCACTGGAAGAAAAATAGCCTCATTAATAAATGGTGCTGGAAAAACTGGCTCTGCACATGCCAAAAATTAAAATTGAACCTATGTCTTTCACTATGCACTAAACCAAATTCAAAATGGACCAAAGATCTAAATATTAAAACAATGATATTAAATCTGCTGGAAGAAAGAATAGGTAAAACTCTTGAAGACATTGGTGAAAGTTAAGACTTCATGACTAAAACTCCAAAAGCACAACAACTGTCACAAAATATCAAAAACTGGGATCTCATCTTATTAAAAAGCTTTTGCATGGCAAGAGAAACCACTAACAGTGAAAAGACAACATACAGAGTGTAAAAAAATGTTTCCACTTGTTCTTCAGACAAAGGGTTACCACTGAGGACATAAAGGAACTAAAAACAAATCAGAACTCCCAAGTTTAAAGACTCAGTCCAAAAAATGGGCATCTGAAATGTATACACACTTCTGAGATGAAGAAAGACTAACAGTAAATAAATATACAAAAAGTATTAAACATCACTGGTCACTGGAGAAATGCACATTAAAACAACACTGAGGGCAAAGGATTTAGCTCAGCAGCATAAGCGACTGCCTGGCAAGTGTGAGGTCCTGAGTTGAAACCTAAGTCGCAAAAGAAAAAAACAAAACAAAACAAAAATACTGAGATTTTGACTCATCCCAGAAAGAATGCGTACTGTCAAGAAAACAACCAATAGCAAATGCTGGAGGAGCTGTGGGGAAAAAGGAGCCCTTCTCCACTGTTAGTGGGAGTGTAGACTGGTGCAAACAATGTGGATATTTTTCAAGGAACTAGGATTGGAGGGCCTGGGATATGGCTCAGCCATACAGCACCTGCCTAGCAAGCACAAAGTCCTGAGTTTGATTCCAGCACCAATAATAAATAAATAAATAAATAAAAAAAATAAAAATATAAATAAATAAATAAAGCACTATGATGCCAGACATGTAGCTCCATGGCACAATGCCTGTCTGGCAAGTGCAGGGTCTTGAGTTTGATTCCATATACCAAGAAAAATTGCTATGATTAGACTCTGCTCAAGTTATCTGAATAAACTGTGAGCACGGTTACATGCCTGTAATTCCAGTACTCGGGAGGCTGAGGCAGGAGGATTGTTGTAAGTTCGAGATCAGCCTGGGCTGCAACTGAGCTCAAGTCTAGCCTAAACTGCACAGGGAGACCCTGTCTCACAAAGGCAAAACAAAACAAAACAAAATAAAGCAACACACAGGATTGGAGGTTCTATTTGATCCAGCTATTCCTCTTCTGAATATCTTCCTAGAAGAATTAAAAATATTGTGCCACAGCAATGTATGCGCACCCATGTTTATAGCAGCACAATTTGTAATAGCCAGATCTTGGAAACAACCCAAATGCCTATCAAATGAGGAATGGATAGAAAAGTTGTGGTCTTTATATATAGTGGAGTACTATTCAACCATAAAGAACAATAAATGTATATAGGTAAATGGAGACTTTTACAGTTAAATGGATGCAACTTGAGACCATACTCATAAGTGAGATAAACCAGATGAACATGTGTAAACCTTAAATTGCCTCCGTAGTGTAAGAAGCTGAAAAAATAAATGAGATCCAAAATATACAATAGACATACAATAGATGGGAAGAAACTTCAAAAGGAATGAGTAATTGGGATGGGGATGAAAAGAAGAAAGGGGAAAGTAAAATTAAATATATATGCGTACACATATATGATCATTAAAATATACTACTAATTTATATTGTTTAATTGAAAAGAAAGGTCTGTGCTAATGTTGTTTGGACAATGAAATGCCAATATCTTGTACTCTGAGTAGCTAAAGATAACAATATTCAATGTGATAACCATTGTTACCCTCCTGTTATCTTATCTTGAAATTTCAATTTTTTCTCTGTAAAATTAAAAAAAAAAAGAAATGATAGGAGTTGAATTGAGTCATACTGAATCTCAGTGTAGGGAGAATGTGTCATTTTAAATATGTTCAATCTTCTAATATCTAAAGGTTATGGTTAATTTCAGTAGTTTATGTGTGCATTAAAACCTTTCAGCATTTTACCATAGATTTCTTTCTAAAGTGCTTCCACATCTTTTATTAAACTTATCTTCAGAATTTGATGGGGGTTTTAGATGCTGTTGAAAAAGTTGTTTTTTATAAACTGCATTAAATTAATTAAAGAGTGCTTTAAATTATTTTTGTTTGTAGTTCCCAGAATTACACGTGATTTTTTTCTAATCGTTATGTACTAATCTTGCTAAATGAACTAATTCATTCTAAAAGACTAGTTATAATTTAAGTTAGTATAACTGTATAATCTATAAATCTGTGAATTTCAGCGGTTGTATGCTTTTCCTTGCCAATCTTTGTCTTTCTTTTATTATTTTTCTTGAAATAATGCCCTTACTAGAGATTATAAAATGTTGAACAAAATGGACAATGTTGTAATGATTTTACTTTTGTTCCTTGGAATATGGGGCAAGTTTTCAGTATTTCAACACTAACTGTGACAATTGCTTATTTTTATCAGATTTTATTTTGTGAGTATTTTTCATCAAAAGTATGTGACAAATTTTGTCCAGGGGAATTTCTACATATGTTGGGATTAGTAATGTGATTAAAATCACATTCCTTGGTTCTGTTAACTTTGATTTCCAAATGATATAAATCATGAATTTATTTTGTATCTAATTTATTGTATTTGTATTTGTATTTGTATTGCAGTTGTATTGCATTTGTATTGCTGTTGTCACCTCTTGGATTCTGCTTATTCAACAAATTTTTTTCCATGTTTGTATTTGTTCATGATATAGATATATCTTTATATTTTTGTCCTACGAAGTTTTATCAGTTTAATATAAAGTTTGTATGGGTTTCATTTCACTATTTATATTTTCTGGAAACATTTGTATGAGTTTGGTGCTATTCCTTTCTCAGTTATATAAAAATGTTCACAGTTTCAGTTGCAAGGATGTGGAATTCATTTGCAAGATTTCTTATTATAGACACATTTCATTTAATAAATAATAAATGCATGAGTATTCGTATTGTGTTAAGCTGATTTCCTTTGGCTTTTACACTTCATCTTATTTCAAATTTAATGGATGCTACTGTTTATATTTCGACATCCATATCTATAGAGTATACAGTGATTATTTTTTATTCTTGATTTAAATAAATGTAGCTTTTACTTTTCTCTCATTCTACCTAGATATTCATCAATGATACTTTATTCTGAAAAGACAAGAACTTTACTTTTATTTGTACTATCTTTTTATTTTAAAAATCACTAAAATTTTGCTGTTGAAAAAAAATTCCTATTTGACTTTAATTCTGTTACTTCCTTTTCCTAATTTACTTCATTTTACATTACCTTGAAAAATTCTTGTGATGAATAAGTAGATACCAATTTTACAGCATTTTTCTTTTGCATTTAATGTGAAAACATTTCTTTATATGCTAATTGAGAGGTTATCCCACACATCTGAAAAGAGATTTACTGATCTATAACTGACACAAGATAAACTATGCAACTTTAAAATGTGCAATATGATACATTTTTCCTTTGATGCTGGGGATTGAAAACAGGGCCTTTTCTCTGAACTAGATCACCAGTTCCTTTTAAATTTGTTTTTGATACAGTGTCTTTCTAAATGGTTAAGTTTCCCAGGCTAGTCTTGAACTTATAATTCTCCTGCTTCATCTTCCCAGAGAACTGGGTACAATTTTAATATGTATATATTCATGAGATTATCAACACAGTCAAAATAATGAACATATCTGTTACCTGCCAAAAATTTGATGTAACTGTAACTATCCTCTTTTCACAGTAGTATCATTAAATATAGTTTTAAATATTTGTCCAACTTGCTTTTGTTTTCTGTTTTCTCCTTTCATATGGCTGTTTCTTCCCTATGTCTACTTTAGTGGTTATTTTATTTTTTAATTCAATTTAAATTCCTCTTTTGCATTATTAGGTGGCAGGTTTTTATTTTTTATTTTTTTTTGCGATATCGGGGATTGAACTCACGACCTCGCGCTTGCAAGGCAGGCGCTTATGCCGCTGAGCTAAATCTCCGACCTAGGTGGCAGTTTAAAATTGCGACAACACATACAATTATATCAAGAAATGAAGGTCATGGCACTTGTCTGGATTCTATCAAGTTTAGAGACTTCCCTTTGGTCACCAGAACACAGCTGTTTTGACAGTATTTAAATTCCTAGGTTGAAGCACCAACCAATTGCCACTATCCACTTCAACCAGTAGAAGGCAGCACTTTGGCCTCCAGACCATGCCCTTCTAGCATTCCCGAAATTCTCTGTTCCCTATAGGAATTACTTCCGTTGGTATGGTATAGCTTCCGGGGGCAATAGGAAATAACGGCACCAAGAAACAAGCCACCTTCGGTTTGTCTCTCTAGGTCAGTCGTATTTTATTTTTAGTTTGGAAACAAAGTTGTGCTGTATGTTGAGTTGTATTTACACTTTTGTTTTTTTTCCCCTTTCAGCATTGAAGACATCCTGATCTATTCTTCATTTTTTTTGTATGATTTCCGTTGGGAAGGCTGCCATTTTGAGACAGCCCTTCGGGAAAGGTAATTCCTGTTTACTTTTCAGAGAGTTTTGATTTTGTTCATACTGATTATATTTGATATAGATTTTTTTGCGGGGGGAGCAGGGAGACAGGGTCTCCTTATGTTCTTCTGGTTGTCTTTGAACTCATTGGATTACAGGCGAGTGCCACCACGCTCAGAAAATTTGTAATTCTCAGTAAATGGCTAGCTGTGGTGGCACGCTCTTCTAATCACAGGTACTGGGGAGGTAGAGGCAAGAGGGATGCAGGCTTATGGAAACTTGAGCAACTTAGTGAAACCCTGTTTCTAAAAAGGAGTAGCGAATTGGGATTTAGACTAGTGGTTGAGCGTGGCGGGGTGGGGGTGGGGCTGTGGGTTCGGTTTTTATATGCGTTCAAAGTGTGAACACATTCCCTGGTCAAAGCAGAATGTTTATGTGGTGCTAATGTTGAGCAGGATAAGAATTTAAGAGAAAACTCTTGCTTAACAAATGAAATGACCATTTGTGTTCCTTATTAAAAAATTTTATATCTACAGTATATATAGTATGCATATATGTATATAAAGTACTTTTTTTTTTTTGGTAGCGGGAATCGAACTCAGGACTGTGTGTTTGTAAGGTAGGCACTTATGCCGCTGAGCTAAATCCCCCCCAGTCCATATTCGTTTTTTTTGTATATGAAGTACTTTTGGTATTCTGTTATAAAATATACTGCTGAATGATCTTGATAAAATGCATAAATGATGTACAGCATTGCCAATTAGCGCAAAATATTATATGATTAGTAGAAATTACATAATTTTATCCATTGATATCTGATTTGGGAAGGAGTATGAAATGATTCTGTTTTTGGAAATTAATTTGGTATTTTTTAAAATTTTACATTTTCCTACTCTTTTCCTTAGTGATTGCCTTCTATGACTATATTTGGCTGTGCTTGACACTTGTCTAACATATATATATATATATATATATATATATATTATATGATATGAAATGCAGCTATTTTTGGTAGTATATACTATGCTTATTTTCTAAATACTATGCATACAGTATTTTATATCCAGTCAGGTATATCTTTAATAATTACAGAAGCTATTCTGAAGATATGCTGTTAGTAAAGAAGGAGCAATTGTAATTTGTTCATGTGTTCAGAATTGTTTTTATTATTTGTTATTTATGTTTGTTATTAATGTAAATATATATTTTAAAAATTGCACATTGATATACAACTGTTCAGTGGAAAGTTATTTGTGGGGGATAGTTTACACTGTGAACACCTATTTGTAACTAATAAAGGAAAATACAAGTGACATGACATCATATTATTTATTCTTTTGGTTGGTCTTCTGTTTTTCTATATAGTATAATCCAAGTAAGAAGTTGTATATATATATCCATGATTAAAACAGAAAAATAAGAAAAATGTAGAAATTAATTTATGTAGAGAAATAATTTAATTTAGTTGTGAATCATTTATAGGAAGTAGACCTCTAGTCATTCAAGTCATTAAATTGGAGACCATAAGAAAAATTGTCTCAAAAATGTTCTTTTTATTGTGTAGTAAGATTAAATGTCACGAGTAAGCTACAGTTTATCTACTCTTAATGACTCTCTGTTGTCATGATATCAGAAAAAAATGATAAGGATTAGGGTTATAATCGGTTCAGCTTTTATCTTGACAGCATTTGGGGAAAAATGTGAAATTATAACCTTGTTTAACATTTTACATCTTATGGTGTATATAAAATATCTAAAGAGAATTGCAATTCTCAGAAAAATGTGTTCAGGGATTTAACTGTCTGGAATCCAGCTATCTTAACAGAATTATCAGTTCTTTTATCTGTAGAACACTGTCAGATATTCTGGAAACAAACATAACATCTCTGAATAAAAGTCAATTCATTCTTCATTTCTAATCATCATTTATTTTTTTCCATTTTCCTGTCATGGCTATAACCTCCATAAAGTATTGACTAGAAATGGTAATGGTAGGCATTCTTTTTTTTTTTTTTTTTTTTTTTTAGGGGAATAAGGTTTGAGAGGAGATCTCACTACAACTCACTGTGTAGCCCAGGTTGTCCTCAACTCATAGAAATCCTCCTGCCTCAGCCTCTTGAGAGCTGGGGTTACAGGTGTGTGCCATCATGCCTGGCTCAGTGGCTTTTTAAACTTAGGACGTTGAACTTGCCAGGCAAGTGCTGTGCAACTGAGCTATATCCCTGGCAGGCGATTTTATTTCAATCTCATTTAAGGGTGTGGTTTTGAATTTTGGAGCACTGATTATGATATTTTGTATAGTTTTTAAAAATATCAAAACTGGATATTAAATTTACCAAATTTTTCTATATTTAATAGTGATGTGACTTATGTCTTTTGTCAAAAGTGATTATATTTAGTATGCTAAATAATTAAGATCTTATTCTTGCATTAAAATTAATTTTTTGATGGGATATTTTAAATGAAAGTGGTTCTGGATTGATTCCAGTTGTTCCAACATAGTAATTGTTTTTCTCATTTCGTCATGGTGCATGTCTACCATTGATTCTTCCTTTATTAAAATGACCTTATATATTTAGTGTAAAGTTCATGTGAGACTTAGCAGTTGTAGAAGTAAGGCTATGTTTTGTCCTTTGGAACAGGTTCTAAATGATTGATATTTCTTTCTGAAATTCATGAAAAATTACAGAATCAAGCATTCCAAAGTGGGAACTTTGTAGGAAGTGTTTTTATTATGAAGTCTTGCAGGATAATTAAGATTTTCTGATTGTCATCTGCTTGTTGAGTTGTTTGTTGAATTTTATTATTTTTGTGTCACTTCAAATTTTAAGCTTTCTTTTCAATGGAATTGATAACGTCTTTTTTATTTGCTCTTAGTTTTGCTGGGATTTATAATGCTTATAAATTCTCAAAATAATAAGTTTCAGATTTGTTGATCTTAATTTTCCCCCTGCATTTCTTTAATGGATTCAAAATGCTTTGATTATTCTTCTAGTTTAAATAAACCATTGTCTTTCCAAATTTTGATGTGGATTATCAGCTCTTTAAAAATTAGAGTGTCTTCTATTGGTTTAATGCTAAAATTGCTTCATTAAGTTAATATTTTGATGGATCCTACAGATTTTTAACAACCTTATATAAGTAGAGTTGAAATAAACTTTAAAATGTGAATTTTGAGATAACTATGTAGTTGTGAAACCGTTCTCAGAATTAAGATAATGAATATATTTATTGACTTTCTGAATTTCCTTGTATACCTTTACATTTTTCCCCTTTTAGAACTCCATAAGCTCTTCCCCATTTCCCATGGTGTTAGTTTTTTATATAATTTTTGTGTGCATGTACCTTTTCATTGTTTCTTGGTAAATATCAAAGAATGGAATGACTAGTTCCCATTATACGATTGTTTTTAGAAAATTTCAGTGTTTGTAATGTGATTATGCAATATTATACCCCAATACAAATGTATGTGTAGCATAGTTGTTGTGCATCTTAGCAGCAGTTAGTAAGGCTGGTGTTCTAATCTGTAAACTTTTACCTGATGTGCAGTGGTATCTCAGTGCCAGTTTCAGTGTATGGAAGTGCAAGAGTGTATGGGATCAAGTCATTGTTCTTCTGTCCCAGATAGCCTCAGTAAATGGAGAAAATGATTTACTATTCAGATGCTAATTTTTCTTTCTTATTTTAGTTTGCATGTGTCACTTTTTATGACATGCAGAAATTTATATCAAGTACTGTAAAAGTAATTGGCACTTGACTGTGGTTTTATTTTTCTCTAGGGAGCATTTCCTTTTGCTTCAGGGATTTAATTTGGGTGCATATAGTTGATAGCATTATAAAATTATTTGTTGTGGCTTTGGTAATTCGGTCTCAGATTTTAAAAGTAGTTTTGTACTTCAGGTTTATAGTGATAGACAATAGCTCCTCTAATGGTGTCAAATTCATTCCTGGGTTGTTTTGTTTGTTTGTTTTTTACTTGAATTTTTTTCTTTTTTTTTTCCCAGTTGTTTTGGAGATGTGGCCTCACTATGTAATTCAGGTTGGCCTGTTGGCAGTGAACTCACTATGTATCCCATGTTGGCTTTCAGCTCTAGGGTATCCTCCTGATTCAGCCTCCTGAGTGCTGGAATTGCAGGTGTGTGCCACCAAGTCTGGCTACCTGGGTTTTTGTCTTGCTTTTTTGTTGGTTTGTTTGTTTTTTTGAGATCCTCTCTGACAAGGTAGGCTCTAAACCCAATCTGTGTCTCCTAAGCTGGTGAGACTGGAGCTCCGGAAAAGCCAAATAAGTTTTTCAGCTGCACTTTTTTCCTAAGCATTTTCAGTTCTAAGTCATCTTTGATTTTACAAAAGGTCTGCAAGATGACAGAAAGTGCCAGTCTAGGGGCTCATCTCTTGGACTTAGCTTCTAACTGTTCCAGTTTCTTTAAATCCTTGCTTTCCTGGTTTTATTGCACCTTTAAACAATGTGTTTAATATTTTAAGACTAGTTTTTCTAAGCATAATAGTTGAGCTGAAATGGCTGCTTTATCATAACTGAAAGTGCAGCTCTGCACATAACTATATTTTGAATTATGTGTTAGTTTTGATGTTCTTCCTATAGTTAGTTGATTGTAGTATTTTTTGTCAGTACACTTAAAGCATCTTTTAAGGCAGATAAGCTTCCAGAGGAATGGACTTTTTTCTGTCATCCTTTGTGTACTACAACCTGATTATTTTGTTGACTGCCTAAATGATTGTTTTATTTTCTGCATGTCCTAGGTCTGCACATAGGTATATTCTTTAAGTAGAGCTTTGTATTCATTTACTATTGCAATAACAAAATATTTCATTCTGGGTGCTTTTATTAGCTTCTAGTTTTAGAGACTGAAAGTCCATGATTAGGTGATTTCAGGGATTTGGTCCTTGGTGATGGTATAAGGGTTGATGACCTTTTGACAGGGGCATATATGAGAAGGAGAGATCACATGGTAAGATAGTAATCCCCACTTCTTAAAGGTTCCACAACAACTCTGAACATTCCCATTCCTGGGACCAAGCTTCCAACACATGAGCTCTTAGGAACACAGTCAAGATATATTTAAATCATTTCAGGCCTAATGCAAAACTAGTAAGTAAATGTGGAATGTATTAGAAAAAATAAGTTTTTTAAAAAAAATTTTTAGACAGGGTCTTACTATGTGATTCAGGCTGACCTTGAATTCCTAGCAGTCCTCTTGCCTCAGGCTCCCATGTTCTGGGATTACAGACCTGTATCACCATCCCTGGTCTAGAAGATAAAGTTTTGTAATAAGATTTTTTTTTTTTGAGACAGGGTCTTCCTATGAAATTCACTCTGCCTTGGAACTCACTGTATAGCCTAGGCTGACCTCAAATTCATGGAGATCCTCCTGCTTCAGCCTCCTGAGTGCTGGGATTATAGGTATGCTCCACATGTCTGGCTGTAGTAACTTTCTGTACTGTCATAATAACTAGAATTTTGCCTACACTTCTGTATCTTATGTTTACTGGTTACTCTAGGGCAGCTATGGCGAACCATTTAGAACTTTCAATGTTACAAACAGCTCGCTAAGGCATGTGTACTGTAGGTTTGCCATCATAGCTCTGGGGGTTAGTATTTGTATCTTTTACTTATCTTGGTCCATACTAGTTAAAGTAGTGTTTTTTTTTTAATTTTATTTAAGTAGAAAAAGAAAAAAAAACAGAAAAAAGGTACAAGTTATACAGAATTTCAGAAAAAAATAAACAGTAGGAAATCACTAGTTAATAGATTACAAATTGTCATCTTAGATATAGTTGTTCAAGTTACAAAATTAAAGCATATAAAGTAGACATTCAAACAGTGAGACTGCAAACAGTTCTGTTCAATGATCCAACAAAACTCAGTAATATGGTTATCTATCTTATACACTTAAATATACATGCAGTTATATCCTTTAGAGCACTTTCTTTTCCTCTCTTTTGTACAATGACAATTACACATTTTGGGTTTTATTACTCCCACAGTTCTTATTACTTTTTTTGAAGAGAGTAAAACCAAATGTGACATAACGAAACAGTCAGTCAGATCAAAAGGATGGACATAATACATAATGTAAAAACAAAATACAGGGTGATCAACAGTGGTTACCATCATGCCTCTTGCTATCTTAAAAAGAATCGCCTATATCATCAGTTAAAATAAAATTGAACAATACAGTAAAGAACAAAACCAATAAAACCAAAACATTGGAGACATTACAGGACTTCAAAAGAAGATAATAGTCAACCAGAATGAGCGTTATAATGAATCTTATTGTCTTCAGAGTTGTTGCCTATACTCTCGAACTTGGTACTATCAAGCAAAACGGAATAGAGTAAAATCAGTCAAAACAAGATGGTGAGAGCAATACAGGGTTTTAAATCAAGTTAATAGGAAATCAGAGTGGGTTACTATAACATATCCTGCTATTTTTATTTATTTTTCCCTTAATTAAAAAGATAAAAAAGTAAATAATAGAAAAAGGAGATTGAGATAAAAGAGGGCATAACAACAAGACAGTGCAGGTCAAAACATAACCATTTAAGCAAAATAGTGTTTCACCACCCGACATAAAAGTAGTTACCATAGTGTCTCTTTCCTTGATATCTTTGAGTATAACTTTGTATACTGTGGCACCAAACATATCAAGACAATGTAAAACCATTCAAGAGAATGACAGTATTACAGGGTATTTAGAATCAACTAACAGAAAATGAATAATGGTTTCTCTATAATCTCCTTGTCTATAAAAGTTTTTGTTTATATTATCACATATAATAAAATCCAGTAAGATGCAATATGTTAAGACCGATGGAGACAGAAGAACAAAAGCTTGATGGGACTTCAAAACAAGATGATATTAAATCAGCACTAGCTATTATGATGTCTTATTTTCTCCAAAATAGCTGTTCCTACTATCCAACCTTCTCTGCCTCATTTCTGTTGAGCTCTTTTTCTGTCATTAGTTGTCTGTCTTCATTTCGCTTTCTGCTCCATTCATTGTGGTCTCTCAGCCAGTTTCTGGAATCTTGGAATTTTTCTTTTTTAGAATGTCCTGCAGTATTCTCTGTAGAGTTGAATTGGTGGTTGCAAATTCCCCTAGTTCCTCTTTATCCTGGAAGCACCTTGTTTTTCCATCAATTTCTAGGGACTGTGCAGGATATATCAGTCTTGGCTGGAGGTTATTATCTTTCAAAGCTTGAATTATTTCCCCCCACGCTCTTTGTGAGTTGATGGTTTGTGCTGAGAAGTCTGCTGTAATTCTGATGGGTGTTCCCTTGTAAGTGATCTGTTTCTTGTCTCTGACAGCTTTTAATATTCTGTTCTTATATTGGATTTCTAGAATTTTGATTATTATATGCCTGGGTGTAGCTCTGTTTGGGTTGTAGGTGGCTGGGGTCCTATATGCCTCATACATCTGAGTATCTTTACCTTTTGCTAAATTAGGGAAACTCTCCTGTATTATTTCTGTGAATAGCCTTTGTAGTTCATTTGTTTGTGTCCCTACTTCTTTTACATTCTTAATTATTAAGTTATAGATCCTCTTATCATCTTCTAGCCTTTGTATTATTGCTGTTTGTTTCCTTGTTATTTTTAAGAAGTTTTTCATTTCATGCTCCCACATTACAAATCTGTCCTCCAGTTCAGATAATCTATCCTTAGTTTCTTTCAAGCTGTTATGGCAGCTTTCAGTTTCCTGGTAATCTCTTTGAACCTGCTTCTCATATTCTATGATTTCTGTATTTTCTCCATCAAACAATTCTCCCCTTTTTTTCTCTTCTTCCATTCCACCATCTGTTTTTTCATGGATGGTGCTTAGCATTTCTCTAACTATTCTATTTATTTCTTGCTTTATTTCATTAAATACTTCATTTTTAAACTCATCTATGAGGCTCTGGAGATACTGCTTTATGTCTATAGGTGTCATGTCTGATATTGCATGTTTTCTGTCCTCATTCTCCTTTGCATTTACCTTTCCTGGATCAGTGTTCTCAGGATTGGGGACTGAGGACCCTTCCTTGTTGCTCCCTCTTCCCATACTTTTTGTTCCTTCCATACAAGCGTATATAGGAGGCCCAGTTTCTTTCTTTGTCGGTTACGGTTTGTTTGAATCTGCCGGCTAGGTATTCCCACCTACTGCAGTGTACTAGGCAGACACACACCTGGGCAGCCTCTGCTGGGCCTGCCCCTCCAGGTCAACCTACTGAAGGCTTCACTGCTAGGGTGCACCATCAGGCCCTGGGACCTGGTTTGGGCTAGCCTACTGGGTCTTAGTCTGCACCATCACCCAGGCCAAGCGCTCCCCACCAATCCCGCTTGAGAGGGGAATATTCGACTAAAGTCACTGCAGGGTCCTGTTCTGGCTAGTCTGCCTGGTCCCAGAATGTCCTCTGTTGGAGCCTCCTTATCCAGGAGGGGTCCCCATTGCTCTCACTCACTGCAGGTCAATGCAGGGCTCTCCGCCAGTCCTGCTCTCAACTCCGCCAATTCCTGCTGTCAGAGCTTTCGCGTCTCTGTCCCTACTGTGCTGATTCAGATGCAGCAGCAGCAGGAAATTCAAATCGCGGATTCCAGAGACGCTGGTTCCAGCTTTGGCGCTGAGATTTTATCTGTTCTGGTTATAGCACCGGGATTGCATTTCACATTGGATTCTCTCAGCTTAGTTCGTTCCTTGGTTGGCAGGGTATATCTCCCCTTGCCTAGGACTCCTCACACCACATATTCCTGGATTCTAAGCTGGCTGTCTCAGAGAGCCTCCATAGCTGCTGTTATCTATCCGCCATGCTGTCCTGGAAGAAGTAATGTTGTTTTATGTATATGAAACTTAATAACAATATAAATCCATTCTTTCTCCCTTTTTTCTCATCTGAAATATTTTATGTAAATATTCTTACTTGAAAGCAACTTACATTAATTAAATCTGATTCAATTTTCCTATTGTCTTAAATTAAGTACTTTTTTCTAATTGAAAGAAATTTAAGCGTACAATTTGATAAATTTAGAGAATTGTATATTTTACATCTAAAATATTTATCATATTTTATTCTAAGATTCAGCTTTTTAAAAAGAATTAGTAGAAAAAAGTAGTACTTTTTGTTTATCCGTATTTCCCAATTCACTGCCCTCTTCTTTTTAGGTAGTTTTTCATCAGGAGTTTTTTTCCCTGCAAGTCCTGAGAATTTTCCTGTATAATAGTGTATTTCTATTAGAATGGGCACTGGGGATGGATTTTCTTAAACTTGTTTTTCTGTGTCTTATTTCAGTCCTAGTTGCAAATATAATTTTGGGCATGAAGAATTCTGGGTTGATTGTTTTATTTTCTGTTTTAGTACTGGAACATTGCTGGTTCATTTTAACATTTCTCTAAGGAATCTTTTAAAACTACAAGCATCAGTCATCATTCTCAGTGCATAAACTGAGAATATAAAGAACATGACTAATGTTCTTTATATTTCACACAGATATTCAATATATAGCTTTCAAGCAGATTACTTTAAAATTAAGAGCTATTGTATCAATCCAATTTTTTATTTATATTAATAAGGACAACTTTGATAATAGCAGAAAAACAACAGAAATAAAATAGAAATTCTCATGACAAATATTTTGCAAAATCTAAAATATACAATTTCTATTTCTTTTTTTTGGTACCAGTGATCGAACTCACAACCTTGCACTTGACAAGCATGTGCGTAGCCCAGTGAGCTAAATTTCCAGCCCCAATTTCTATTTCTTAAATACGCATGCGTGCGCACACACACACACTGCATACAAGAAAGTAAGCAATGAACCTTCCCAAGCACATTTTCAGGATAGTTTAATTGTTAATTTGATGTCAATTTTGACTTGTATGACAAATTATATAGCAGATAAAATTTTTGTCAAATAATAATGAAGTGATATATACTAAAAGCAAAAATACTTTAAATTCACAGTAGTTATATAATATTCAATAGCATTTATGTATGGTAAGTACATTTTATATTTGAAATTATATAAATATAGTACTTATTGAAATAAATTATTAGGCAATACGTATTTATGTGTAAAATAAACATGAATATGTATAAACTTATATAACAATTTAGTATTTCAAATATTTATGAAATTATAGATTATTTAAAAAATAGATTATACATTAGACAATTCTGAAAATAAATGGAAACCATCTAAATGAGAACATGAACAATCTATTTTTAGCTTGCTATAGCAAAGAACATGCCCATTGTTTTTTATTTTTGGCAAGGACACAAAGATAGTTAAATAAATTGGAAAGCTATATAGCTGACAAAATGGAAGTCTTTGGTGATACCTTGATAGTAGGCTTTACTAGAAATGGATCTTTTACATGATCAATTAGATCTCTGGTTTCTTCCACTTGGTCCTAAGTTAGAAACAGA